GGTAGGAGAGACAGACATGTCTCACTCTATTCTCCTTCTGAATCATTATCCTACTGTCTACCATCAGTCCATCTCATTTTTTAGTCAGTCCTCTTTGTCTGTCTCTCGGCAGGCATCACACTGTGCTCTGTATTCATTCTTGCAGAGAATATCAGCATGTGAAGCTGATCTCATCTCTCGGAGCCAGATGGATGTCTCTCTAACTGCCACTGTCCTCCGCCTCATCTGATCTGTTCAAGGTTAAACACAAAAAAAAGGATAACAGGCATGAGTAAAGCATTCACACGCATGCACAGACACACATTCATACCGCCGTCTAAACAGCTTTATCATGGCCACTCATATGTCTGTTTTGTGGTGGTAAAAAACAAAAGCCTAAAAGCTGTTCTGAACCCTCAGTCTGAACTCTCGTTTTAATTTGCATGTACACACAGAATCTAGGTGCAGAAACAAAACCGGCATGAGCACATGCACAGGCACACACATGTATAAACACACACACAAAGTCCTTAGGGCCGCAGCCCAAGAGACTGTCCTGCTTGTGCCAGTTCTGGCCATCGAGCCATCAAATCTGGCATTCATGAATGGAAATAAATTCTGCTTTCCACCAGAATTTATTCCAGAGCAAATTTGATAAGGGTCATTCTCATGTTGATTCACATGCTGACAGCCAGGTTTTTACAAGACCCGTTATGATTGTTTTCTCCCCACCAAACAGTCTAAATATAAACAGCGGGGAGCTCACACCGAAAGGGATTGCATTTTGTTTCTCTATAAATAACAGCAAGCTTCCAATCAAAATTACCAAGTGTGGATGGTAGCGAGTGTGTCTGAATTTGTACTTATACTTGAATGTGTGTACATGAGTGAGCGTTCAGAGTTAGCTGTGTCTATATTAGCAAGTTGGAATGATGGATGTGTAGGGTGAAAAAGCCTCATACCTGAATTTGTCAGGTACTCCTGGAGGAATTGTCAAGAAAATCCAACAACGCAGCCGCGTTTGATTTTTGAATCGTTGATAGAAACAGAAACGCTCATTTCTCTACACCACAAAGAGGGAAAACAAACTGCTTAGTGTAAAGATGGAAAACACATGCACAGTATTGGCTGTGTGCATGTGTGTGCAGGGAAACATGAAAACAAAATGGCAAGCCAGCTGCCCATTTCTACAAACTGTTCTGTCTCAGTTCACCAAGTCTCACTTCCAGAGCTGCCTAATCACATGTGATATCCAACAGAAGAAAGAAACAAACAACCAGTGCAAAGTATCTTTGCATTGTCACAGATGATATATCAAATCGGTGTATTTGTTGAAGACAGAATGGACTCAAGTGGCCAGGGAAAGCAGGGTATTGACCTGCATTTGGAGCCGTGTTGCGGACCCTTAATCCTTAGAAAAGAATCTTGTCAGCAGGGTGATGTGATGCCAGTATCCTGCTGGGCTTGTTGAGGAGATGGCCAAGCCCTGGAAGGACTGGATGGCCAGAGAAACTGCCATCTGCCTGGGAAAGATGTGTGTTTTCACACACACAGCCCCCTTTGGCACCAGCAGTTTGAGAGGGACTGGAGAGGAGGATGAACAAGCTGAGACAGGCAACAATGAGGCCACAGGGTGACCCTGCAAAACACGTTAATGAACTTACTGCAGCAGAACCAAATCATTTGGTAGTTCACTTACACACGCAGTATATGCACATGAATAAAATCGCACACATCCAGACTCTGATGATCAGTGCTTATAATTCCCAACATTTCAGCCTTCGAGGCCACAGAGACACTCCTACACACTTCCAGTATATTACCACAGCATTTTCACATTCTTGATTTTGAACTATTAAAAATGATTGTGTAGTCTGCAGTCGAGATATTTTTACAATTACATCAACAGACATAACAGAAAGTATATGTGAAGGAGTATTAGTGAGAGTGTGCAAATACCCACACACAGCCACACACAATCTGTCTTTTTGCGCCTCTTTTTCTTGCACACACATACACACACCCCTACACACAGACAAAGAGCAACTGAATGTTTGTCTGTGCTGCAGCCTCGAGCTTAGCTTATCCTCTTTCAATTTTCCTTTTCTCCTCAGTTCAAAGCATCAAAAGTTGCCAGAGGAGCGACTGTGCTGCACGTTTTCTCAAACATACACAATTTTCATGTGTGAATATGACATTAACTTTCTTTAAAATCTAGCCAAACTAACGGAGTAAATACACTATAGTCATGGTGGTTATTTCCGTGTTCATGGGGAGCAGAAGTGGGCTATAAAACCTTTTGACAGTGACAGTCTGCACCTGTATTGAATCTATGAAGTCCACTACTGTGTAATCACCAAGGTTTGTCTGATATATCTATATGTTAGACTCTCAATTATCAATAACTGCCTCAGAAATCCAGTATTAATCTGACTAAATACACCTGTAAACAGAAGCACATGTCAGAGAAAGAAAGAAACATTATGTAAATGAAAAATATCTTTTTTTAAAATTTCAAAATATAAAATATAGCTGTCTTTATGGTGGGTTTAGACAAAATTTACAGAACATGGGGTGAAATTAAAATCAATAAAGAAAAACATCACTGTCATTAATTCAAACATCTAACAATATATGATGGAAGATTCTTGTACGAATCTGGTTGAGAGCTAGCGAACACTGGCTGAAAAGGAATTCACTGTGTTGATGTTCACACTGGGCTTTAAGTGACAATCCATTGTATATGGTAGTGATACAAATGGTGCAGTGAAATCCATGTCATGAATTTGAGCATACAGTACTTCCACCATCGTACAGCTTTACAGCCCACCCTCGACATCTGGTGCGTGTTGATCCCAAAAACTGCATTTGTGTCAGTGACAGCCTGTCAGACTCAGGACAGCAATCCTGAGATGTGTGATGTCTGTCTATTAGTGATGATACACACACACAGGCCTCGCTCTTTCCAGCAGATTGCTTTTATGTCTTTGACATCTTCAGTAGAGCTTAGTCAAAATTTAATTCAATATTGATGGTGTTTTGTTGGACTAAGGAGTGTTACTGATCAAATGCTGATGTCATTTAAGTTTGTCTTCCCTTCTATGTGGCTTTACTTTATTTTTCTGTACCTCAAAAAGAGACGTTGATCCAAAATTTGCACTTGACATTTGATAGGTTGTCAGGAGAGAGATTTGTTTGTTGATTAGATGCCATTCACCCTGTTCCTATGTGATTGTCTTTACCTTGATTGATTCCACAACTGCACTGACAAGAAGCACTTTTTATTTTGGTTTTATTGATCCTTAATTTGCATTTTCACATATTGACTCAATGTGTCATTTAAGCATCTCCCATTACAGACTACCTAGGTCTCATTAGCTTGTATTGTTTTCACTTCAATTCATACCAAGTGAATGACTTACTCAAGAAGGAATTTGTCATCTTTTTTTTTGTTACTCACCTCCCTTATCTGGATTTTGTTGAAATATCTACATTAAATTATTGAGTCACTGATGTCGGCCATGGCTTTGAGGCGTGAGGAGAATGTACAAGGCGACAGAGTGGTGTTCATTGCTCCACCATGGGTGTATCATTTTCGTTTCAGCCCTAAGTTGAATGAATGATGTAATGAATCCAGCACAGAACACCAGTGAATGTATCCTTATGCTGTGTATAAAAATTTAAGAGCTAATGATGAAGACAAGGTTACACTTACACTTAAGTTACACTTAAGTATCTATCTTGACAGAGCCAATTGTTTGCAACTTGTGCAAACTAAATCCTTGTTTTTCTATGAGCTGCATTTCAAATCAGCAGCCGTGTGCCCTGTGTGCCGTTTAGTCAAGCAGAATAATGCATATACATCCTGTTTAACGTTTTCCATGTACCATAGACAATGCTCTGCAGCCCTAAATATGACACATCAGTAAAAAAACAGATTTTTGATATTTCACCAAGATGCCTTACAACCACCACTGTTAGCTCTGACATATTTGCTCTCACAGCATACCTGACACCTTCCTTTGATGTAAGCCTCTCACTTCTTAGCTCCTCAGTATATGGGCACTTAAACAATAAAGACAAGGGATTTTGTTTTCTGTCATGGGGCTATCAGAAATGATTTGTAGATGATTCCATCCAGGGAGTATATGGCTGCATAAATACATGCTTCCAAACAGTCTGAGCACAGAGGTGACCTGATGATGGAGCTAGGCCATGAACTCTGAGATGAAAGAAGAACAGTCTGAGCTGCCAGTCTGTGGAACACTGGTTCAAATGTGTTGCATTTATGTATGTCTGAGGTTCTCTGGAAAGTTAAAATATCATTAGGATTAAGCTTTTGCATTTGGATCATCCCATGAATGCTTTTTTGTTTGGAAGGCTTCTACTAATCAATGCATCTTTTCATTCACTTGCAAAGAAGCTCCTGCAGCTTCACATTCAGGGCATTGGGAACCGCTGTTATGCCACAGATGAAAGCCTAGTCACCCACCACTCTTAATCTTCAAGCTTAGTATTAGCAGTCAGAGGATGGAAGTCAATTTCCTCATGCATCAAGTCGCGTTTATGCAGGTTTTGCAACAAAACTTATTTTCTTTACAGATAGTGAAAAGCCTGGCTTTAGTATTAACCTCCAAAGCAGTTTTTAGCATTTTACTCTACCTATGCCAGGTAGATAACTGAGAGTGCCCTACACCTTCTGTGTGTCCACTTTGGTAGTGAACTATTAATATGACACACATGTAAAAAGTGGTACTCTGATTATGGCCATTTCTCTAATGAGCCATAGCCTCCTGTGCCACCTACAGTAGGGGAAGAGCTGCTTTAAATAATATTTTCCTAATAATTAGTTGAGTTTTAATATTTATTAAATTTATTTCAATAATTTCTCTACTATACATTTTGCACAATTTATTTAGATGATTATCCATTTCATAATGTCTCCTTTGTCTATTTATTCTATGTATTTATTACTGAACACTTTGGGACTCCTTATACTGTATCTGGTCATATCTTCTCACCTCGCACCACAATGGTGGTGGATTTCTTGGCTGGGTTTCCCACGTTGTTGCTGGCCACGCAGCTGTACACCCCCGCCTCATCCGAGGTGATGGCTGGCAGGGTGAGCGTGCCCCCCTTCACCACGCTCCTCTGTGGGAGGCTGTCATTACTGCTGACCCAGGTGAGTATGGGGGGAGGCTCCCCACCTGTGGTGATGCACACCAGCGATACTGTCTGGCCAGGATTCACCACAATAGGATCCTCCACCAGCAGTTTGATGGATGGGGAGGCTGTGTAGGAAGACAGTGATTGGCAGGAGAAGGACAACTTTGGCACTTATGACAGTTATAGCACAACTTAGTTGAGAAAGTATGCAATGATTCCAGCTGCTTGAGCTGGAATCAAATTCCTTGTGTTCTTGAAATACTTGGCAATAAAGTTTATGCTTATGCTTAATGCTTTATTTGTCGGTTTCCATCTCCGTTCTACATTTACTAGGGCACTTTTGTGAATTTTGCTATTTTCAAATTGCAGCCTGTTTAGAATAAAGTATAAAGCATTTTTGGGTATGCTATGCTTAAATACACAAAAGTCAATATACCTGTCTTATTAGTCAGCCTGAAGATCACACTGCGGTCAGGGATCCCACACACATTTCGGACAGAGGCAATGCAGCTGTAGTTGGCGTAGTCCTGAGGACGCAGGTTCTTCAGCTTCAAAATCTTTGTTTCCCCCTGCAGCTCAGACCAAACCAACACTGGTATGCAAATGTGTGCAGAAATATCAACGTAATCAAGTAAAAGAAATGCAGAAGGTAGTTATACTGGGAAGGAGATGACAAAGGTCAAACAACTCCAAAGAAAGGTCAAATTGATGAATATGTATAACATTTCACTGCAGCCAAAAGTGAAAAGAAAAGGCAGTAGATTTCAAGAATACTACTGTAGGGTATAAAAACAATGATGCTGGTATTTTTCAAGAAAATTAACGTGTCAGCTTGCTCAGTAACTATGTGTGGATTACCCTCCAGTCAATGGTCCTGCAGTATTTTCATCATTCAGCTATAGAAGTGTGGCTGGAGCTCAGTAGGGCTTCCCTTCACCACAGAAGCTATCTCATTAAGAATGATGTTTGATTGTCAGCCATGAGACCCCGCCCAGAATGCTATGATTAGGACCTGAACCTTTGATCTGGCTGACTCCACTCTGTGGGTGTTGAGTTGGATGGGGAGGTGGCAGATTAAAACATGAGTGAGCCACACACCGTGGCGGTCCTCGCACCATGGCAATCACTCGTATTTGAAACCCTTTCCTATTGAATGAGACTCTTGGATAAATTTGTTGTATTAGATTAGCAAGTTATTCCATACTTTGCTTTCTTTTTTCCTCAGCCACCCCCTCTGCCTCAGACCGGATATCAGGAGATGAGGTTTGTGAGTACAAGCTTTGCTCACAGCAGGTGGGGGCAGATTGAAAGGAAAATCTATTGGGGAAAATAGAGGGGGCAGATAGGAATGGAAAGAACAAACACACTAAACTGAGATGGACAGGGTGGACTGATGGCCATACTGGTGGGAAGACTGAATCCTAGTACAGTACAAGCACATAAGAGCTTCAGAGACAGGACTTACGGCTGTTGGTAAAGGACAAAGAGTGTGTTGTGCTGGTGTTTTTAGAAGCATGGAATCAGCCAGTTGGATGCATGGTGGTACAGATTAACATATGGACATACGGTACTGTATTTCATGCTAGAAGCAGGAAAACATGGTCAAAAAAATGAATGCAGAAACTGAACCAAAGAGCTATAGGAAAATGGCATAACATGTGCCTCAGCTATGTGGTGAGCGCTGTTGCTAAATGGGCTTGAAATGGTTTCTTCCCCTAGAGCTACATAGCATGCTACAACAGAACATCACAAGACAAGAAAATACCTTATCACAAATATCAAAACATATTGACTACTTTAAAGAGAAACAGCTCTAGTATACGCTTGGTATTTGTGCTGCTCTGTGGCACTTTTTGGAGATAAATTACGTAGCAAGAGGTGTAGGAAAAAGTAAAAGATTGCAGAAAGGACAGGGTTTCTACAATAAAAGCACAACACTAGCCTATATTTAATTATGAGGCAGCTCTCTGTACAGAGTTTGAAATGCCACCTCTGCATTTCAACAATTGCAGTGGGAATATAAAAGCATTTGGTAGGCTGAAAAAGGTGCTGCAGTAGGAACAGTGGAGTGAAGCTAGAATAAAGAGCAATGGAGGGAGGAAGGCATACACATGAACCTAAGACACAAATATCGCCGGACTCAAATGAACTCAACATGACCCTGTAGGCTTGATCTAGGGCAGTTATGAACTTGTTACTCAATTATCTGTGGATATTTCAGGCCAGTTGATATATATTGTCAAACAATAATGGTATTAGCCATTTATATTAGCAAATTACTAGGAGTTAATTCAGGCTTTATTTGGGGTTGGACTCACACAAAGCTAATCTCTTGGGTTTGGAGTGCAGTCAAAATTTCAGACCCAATTAAAGCTTTAATAGAGGGCAGGATGAAGGAGCGAGGGAAGCCGCAAAGAGGTATGAAGATGGGAAAAGGGCGGAGTGTCTGATGAGGCCCAGCAGGGCAGCTTCTTCAGCCCCATCCACCCACTCCATTAGTTCCCGGCCATCTTTCCCCATTTGGCCAAACATCAATTTCACTTCCTTTTTTCCTCTCTCACCATTTCTTAAGCTTCTTTTCTTTTCTCGCATGTCTTTTTCTCATAGGTTTCTATTCTCAGTGAATTTAACCATTTCAGAAAAGGCTGCAATTGTCTTACTAGTGACAGAACAATCTCAGTCAGTTTCTTTGTTAACTGCACAAGATCCATTTTAGAGCTATGCCTCTCGATCTTCACATTGTAAAGAAAACCCACTTGCTCAACTGAGGGAACGAACTGCAGAGAGAACCCGATCTTTCTGCATCTGCAAGTCTGTGAAAGTGGGTTAGTGAAACTTACATCCTAGTCATTGTGGTAAACGAATACAAACTTTACTGTCCAACAGCCGGTGGTGTAAGAAGCACTCAAATTGTTTACTTAAGTAAAAGTAAAAATACCACACTGTAAAAAATACTCTGTTAGAAGTAAAAGTCCTGCATTCAAAATGTCATTTAAGTAAAAGTACACAAGTACTGGCATCAAAATATACTTAAAGTAGCAAAAGTAAGTCTGTATTCATTATGCAGAATGGCACATTTCCCATTACTTTATAATATATTATTGACACATTATTAATACATCACTTTAATGCTGCAGCTGGTAAAGGTGGAGCTCATTTAAGTACCTTATAGACTTATAAATTATAATTATAGGCTTGTAAATTATAAGTGCTGTTGGGTATCTTGTGAATATCCCTGCAGGGATCGATAAAGTTAAATGATTATATTGTATTTTGTATAGGTAATCTGACTCTGAAAAGTAACTAGAAATTAAAATGATCAAATAAATGTAGCGGAGTAAAAAGTATATTTGCCTCTAAAATGTAGTGAAATCAAAGTATGATGTAGCAGATAATGTAAATACCAAAGTAGAGTATAGATACCTCAAAATTGAACTTCAGTACAGTAATTGAGTAAAAGTACTTAGTTACTTTCCACAGCATAACAGGGATAATGTTTGGGCTTGTGGCAATAACGAATAATAATATCAATAATAATGATAACTTTTAAAGGCAACTCACATTTTAAAATCTCATTGTTGTAATAAAATTCAATTCATTAATTAGTTACCATGGCTTACACATCTCTGTTGTGAAATGCATGAAGTGTGTGTGTGTGTGTGTGTGTGTGTGTGTGTTGTGACAGTATGCTATTGCTCTTCTGACTCACTGTCAGGGGAGGCTGATAAAGGTCATAATTTACATATTTATCATATCTGTTTGATCCTCAATATATTATTTTACAATGCATGAGAATTTTGATTACTGTTAATTATAATAGAAATATTTTCTAACAGATTTGGTTTATTTTACGAGAAGGGCTCATTTTTGTTTTTAGACATGGCAGATATCACAGTAATTAGAATCAACAGATAATTCATGAGCATACTGCAAACACAGTTTCTGGTTCCAGCAAAAACCTTCTCACTCTGCTGAGACGTTAACCAGGGCATGTATTTTTACACAAACACGCATTTAAGTGCAAACACCCTCTCGTGGTGAGAGAGCATTGTATCATAATAAAGTGTTGATAAATGTTAGGACCTCTCAAACCCGTTACTTAAAAAGTGCTTTGCTGCTATTTTAGCCACAGTTGCAACTTAATGGCGGACAAGGGA